GTTGCCAGGCTGGAGTGCAGTGATGCAATCTCAGCTCACTACAACCTCCACCTCCCAGGTTCAAGCGATTCTCCTGCCTCAGCCTCTCAAGTAGCTGGGATTACAGGCACATGCCACCACACCCAGCCAATTTTTGTATTTTTAGTAGAGACAGGGTTTCACTGTGTTGGCCAGGATGATCTCTATCTCCTAACTTCATGATCTGCCTGCCTTGGCGTCCCAAAGTGCTGGGATTACAGGCGTGAGCCACTGCGCCCGGCCACACATTGACTCTTTTTTACAAAAAAATTATCTAATAAGGAAATGTTTAAAATTATCAATGAAAATGGAAGGCCAGTTTACTTTTTTTTTTTTGAGACCAAGTCTAACTTGTTTTATTTATTCATTTATTTATTTTGAGACAGAGTCTCACTCTGTTGCCAGGCTGGAGTGCAGTGACACAATCTTGGCTCACTACAACCTCTACCTCCTGGGTTCAAGTAATTCTCATGCCTCAGTTTCCTAAGAAGCTAGGATTACAGGTGTGTGCCACCACACCTGGTTAATTTTTGTATTTTTAGTAGAGATGGAGTTTCATCATGTTGCCCAGGCTGGTCTCGAACTCCTGACCACAAGTGATCCACCCACCTGGGCCTCCCAAAGTGCTGGGATTACAGGCGTGAGCCACCACACCCAGCTAAGCCTTTCTTATTGATTTCAAAGTACCATGAGTTGCACACTCTCATGATTAGCATGGATTGGAACAACCGTGAGAGGAAGAGGAGTTTGCTGAAGGTCACTAAACAGGAATGGTGAGAGGAAGGGGGATGGCACGTACACACACACACACACACACACACACAAGCACACACGCTCGCAGAGGCATTGTAAACAGTGGTTATCAGGTGGGTTCAGGTCTAGGTTTCTCCAAGTTAGAAAATGTCTCTGAGCCTCAGTTGCTCCATCTGTAAATGGGGAAAGGGTGAAACAATCTTGAAGGATCCCTGAAAGTCAGATTTCTCAACCTCAGCAATGTCAACACTTTGGGCTAGATCATTCCTTGCTGTGGGGGCTGTCCCATGCACTGTAGGATGTTAGCAGCATCTGGCCTCTATTCACTGGATGCCAGTAGCACTACCCCTCCCCTGGCTGTAACAACCAAAAATGCTCCCAAACGTCGCCCAGTGTCCACTGGGGGGCAAATTCACCCCTGGTGGAGAACCACTGCTGAAAGGATGAGAGATGATGTATGTAAAATAGCTCACAGTGCCTTCTACATAGTAAGTGTTCAATTAATCGTCGCCATTGTTGTTGTTATTTGTATTCATATTTGCATTGGAGCGGGGTCTATCGTCCCCACTTTACAGGTAAGGAAACAAAGCCAGAGCCAGGCTTTGAGTAGAGTTTTGGGTATTTCCAGCATCCACCTTCCCGCCACACTTCAGGCAGCCCTGCCTAAGCTCGCATAATCTGGATTCCACTATACACCCCACATCAGCTCCGAAGGACCCAGATGGTCAGAATACAGGTTTTCTGCATTCAAACTGGTTTTCTGCACTTCCAACCAGCCAGTGCATCAGACCAGGCTGATGCAGAGAGGCTCCCTGGAGCTCTCAAGAAATTTCTCAACAATGCCAGTCTTTGTCCTCCATCTTGAAGCTGAAGATGATGCCAAGAAAAGCACAGCTTCTGACCCACAGGAGATGACGTACTGAAGTCATTTGGAAAATGCTTTAATGCCTTCAACTGCAATGAACTTATCTGACCTCTGAGTGCCTGTGAACAACATCCCTCTTTCGATGAGCTCACTGGGGGCCAGGATGGTGACTTCCACAGTCAGGGCAGGGCTGTGGACCTGCACTGTGGGGCTGCCTCTTCTCTGTTGATGTTGACTTCCAGAGCTCTATTTGCTCATCCCACAAAATCCACATTGCAACACCCGGTCATTTCCCCCCTCCACGCGCATCCCTTTTCACTTGGTTTTTGGACCTATTGCTCTACAGTCATGTTTTTGCCACAAGAAGCTCTTTGAGCAAAACATCGTTAGTCTCCAAGTCTGGATGAGAAACACCATTCACTCCCTGCTGTCTTAGCAATTCACAGTGCACAATAGTTCACTAAAGGCCCTCAGATGTTCCACAGTAAGGTAATTCATCTGACTGGGTTTTTTTGTTTTGTTTTGTTTTGTCTTTTTGTTTTTGTTTTTGAGATGGGGTCTCATTGTGTTGCCCAGGCTAGAGTGCAGTGGCGTGATCACAGCTCACTGAAACCTCAACATCCTGGGCTCAAGGATCCTCCTGCCTCAGCCTCCTAAGTAGCTGGGACTATAGGTGGGTGCTACAACCTGCCTGGCTATTTTTTCATATTTCCTGTAGAGATGGGGTTTCACCATGTTGCCCAGGCTGGTCTCAAACTCCTGGGCTCAAGCAGTCCTTCTATCTCAGTCTTCTAAAGGGCTGGGATTACAATTGTAAGCCACCACTCCCAGCCCCCATCTAACTGTTTTAAAAACATCTTTTCCTAAGTTGATTTCATCACAAACTCTTTTCCACCGTGGTAGCAAAGACTGGCTAGCAGTTCACTCAGTCCACTTCCTTATTCCAGATACCCAGATAGACAGTCTCCCTTGCAGTTCAATCCAGCTACACGATGGAGTTCTAGCAAATGGAACAGGAGATGAAGTGACAGGCACCTCTTCCAGGCCTGCCTCATACACACACCCCATACAATGCTTCACTCGCTTTCCCTGTCTGCCAGTGGAGTAGAGTGGACCCATGGGGATGAGGAAGTCAGAGCCACAGATGGAAAGAGTGTGAACCCTTGAAGCACTGTGTGGAAGGCTGCCTGTCGCACACTTGCATGGAACTGTAATGTGTGCCATTGATATGGTGGGATGTTTTATTACTGCAGCTGCCATTACTCATCCTGACTACTTGTGATGAACTGTTGGTTTCCCCCACCCAATTCATATATTAAAGCCCTAACCCCAATGTGGTTATGTTTGGAGATGGAGCCTCTAAGAAAGCAATTAAGGTTAATTGAGATCAAAAGGGTGGGGCCCTGATCTGACAGGATTTGTGTCCTTATAAGAAGAGACACCAGGTTGGGCTTGGTGGCTCACACCTGAAATCCAAGCACTTTGGGAGGCTGAGGTGGGCAGATGAAGAGGTCAGGAGTTTGAGACCAGCCTGGCCAACCTGGCGAAACCCCGTCTCTACTAAAAATACAAAAATTAGCCAGGCATGGTAGCAGGCGCCTGTAATCCCAAGCTACTGAGGAGGCTGAGGCAGGATAATTGCTTGAATCCAGGAGGCGGAGGCAGCAGTGAGCTGAGATCATGCCACTGCACTCCAGCCTGGGCAACAGAGTGGGACTTCATATCAAAGAAAAAAAAAAAAAAAAAGTGACACCAGGTTGGGCTTGGTGCCTCACACCTGAAATCCAAGCACTTTGGGAGGCCAAGGAAGGATGATCATTTGAGGCCAAAAGTTCTAGACCAGCCTAGGCAGCATAGCAAGGCCTCATCTCTAGCAAACAAAACAAAACAAAAAAAAAAGTTAGTTAACTGGACATGGTGACATGCACCTGTAGTCCTAGCTACTCCGGAGCTTGAGGCAAGAGGATCACGTGAGCCCAGGAGGTGAGGCTGCAATGAACTATGGTTGTATCACAATCTTGGTGCAACAGATTGCACCAATCTGCTGCTCCAGCCTGGGCAACAGAGCAATACCCTGTGTCTAAAAAGATTTTTAAAAAGCAGAGACACCAGAGTGTTTGCTCGCTCTCTTTCTCTGCGTGTGCACCAAGGAAAGACCAGGAGAGGACATAGAAAGAAAGCAGCCATCTGCAAGCCAGGAAGAGATTAAGTGCCAGAAACTGAATTGGCCAGCACCTTGATCTTGGACTTCCAGCCTCCAGAACTGCAAGAAAAAAAAATCTGTTGCATAAGCCACTTAGTCTACGATATCGTGTCATGGCAGTCAGAGCAACAAATGCACTACTACAACATGCGACACCAAAAAAAATCAGTGTGGTCAGTGTTTTCCAGCTCACACTTTAAGAATCTGTGCCTTACACAGTTTCCATCAAATTGAACATTCAGTGGTATTTGCGTAGGCCCCGTAGGTAAATGTTCACAGAGCCCCACACAGTGTCCAAAATGTAGCTGCACTAGAGCTCCCTCGAGTATTGTACTATTTAAATGGGAATATTATTCAGCCTTTAAAAAGGACTTCCTACCATCTGTGGAATAGTACCTGGAGGACATTATGCCAAGTGAAATTAGCCAGACACAGAAACGAAAACACTGCGTGATCTCACGTATATGTGGAATTTTAGAAAGATAAATACATAGAAACAGAGAGTAAAACAGTGGTAGCCAGGGGTGGGAAAGTGGGGAGATGGTGGTCACAGAATGTAAAGCTGGAGTTATATGGGATGAATAGGTGTATATTCATATGGTAATTTTTTTTTTTTTTTTTTTTGAGATGAAGTTTCACTCTTGTTGCCCAGTCAGAAGTGCAACGGCGCGATCTCGGCTCACTGCAACCTCCACCTCCCCGGTTCAAGTGATTCTCCTGCCTCAGCCTCCCGAGTTGCTGGGATTACAGGCATGCACCACCACACCCAGCCAATTTTGTGGTTTTTTAGTAGAGACGGGGTTTCACCATGTTGTTCAGGCTGGTCTTGAACTTCTGACCGCAGGTGATCCACCCTCCTGGGCCTCTGAAAGTGCTGGGATTACAGGTGTGAGCCACCACGTCCGGCCATTTTTTGCTTTTTTGAGATGAAGTCTCACTCTGTTGTCCAGGCTGAAGTGCAGCGGCATGATCTCGGCTCACTGCAGCTTCCACCTGCTGGATTCAAGTGATTCTTCTGCCTCAGCCTCCTGAGTAGCTGGGACTACAGGCACCCGTCAGCACACCTGGATAATAATAATAATAATAATTATCATTATTATTGTTATTTTTAGTAGAAATGAGGTTTCACCATGTTGGCCAGGCTGTTCTCGAACTCCTGACCTCAAGTGATCCACCCGCCTTGGCCTCCCAAAATGCTGGAATCGCAAGCGTGAGCCACCATGCGTGGTCTGATACAGTATTATAATGATAGTCCTCATGTTGTATATAACACCTAAACAAACAAACAAAAGAAATAGAAATTTATTTTCTCACAGTTCTGAAGGCCAGAAATGTGAACTCAAGGTGTGGGAAGGGTTTGGAAGGGTTCGTTTCTTCTAGGGGCACTGAGGGAGAATCTGTTCCATGCCTCTCTCCCAGCTGTTGGTGGTTGAAGCAATCTTTGGCGTTCCTCGGCTTATAAACTACCACTCCAGTCTCTGCCTCCATCTGCACATGAATTCTCATGGCTTTCTCCCCCATGTCTGTGTATCTTAAATTTCCCACTGCTTGCTCTTATAAGGACACTAGATATTGGATTTAGGACCCACTCAGATAATCCAGGATGCTTCCATCTTGAGATCCTTAACTTAATTGCATCTGCAAAGACTCTATTTCCAAATAAGAGTCCACTCCCACGTACTTGAGGTCAGGACGTGGACATATCTTTTTAGGGAACACTCTTTAGTGCATATATGAGAAGTACCAGCTCCATTCCCTCAGGGACATATTGGATAATTGTACTTTTATGTGAAAAGGCATTGAGAAGTGGCCAGGGTCATTTTAATTTTTTCTCTCTCATCTTCTTATTTTTCAAGGTAACATTTGTTGACCTAAATAAGACATTCTACATCACTGAAGTGTGTTGGAAATTACAGATTTAATGAAGAAAAGAGAAGCGTTTGGGGAAAAGCTTCAATTTCATCTTCTTCCGGAAGTCTTTTTCTGGACACCCCTTTTGCACCGTTTATTGAAATTTATTGTTTTTCTATATGTTCCCAGGGTGGACACAGCCACCCAGACCCTCCTTTTTGACAATTAGCTGCTCCACCAATGAGCAGGCTACTTGACTTTCTAGCCATAGCTGATTGGTCCAGAAGTAGACACATGGTCCAGCCTGGGCCAATCAGATTGTCTTTCCTTGGAGGAGTCCTGTTGCTATCTGGGCTGGTCTCCTCCATGGAGATGGTATGTATCTGAGTCAAGGATGGTCATTTTCTGCCCTGTGCTCTGAAAATACATTGACGATGAAGAAAGAGGCAGATGCACAAATGGAGGCAATGATGAGAGAAGGAAGACAGGACTGGCTTAGATGCAGAAAATACTAACTTTGTCCTACTTCCTATTTTTCCTGGGGGAGGGCTAGCTACACTGTGTGCACTTTGATGACAGGCATTACATGAGGCCCCTGGATCCCTATGTCAAATTTCCTTCGTTTAAAAAAATTGCTTAAAGTAGCCTTGAAAGAGTGTGTTAACTGTCATCAGAGAACCCCAGAGAATTCTCTTCTCTGTTAGCCAATTAACTTCCTTTACCTTCCAGTCCACTGCTCCACTTTTCTCTGGACCTTAATTTCCTCATCTATAAAATACGAATAATAATAGCTACCTCAGAGGATTGTAATAAAATTAAATAAGATAATAAATCTGAGAGAGGTTTTTTCCAGGTTCGTTTTTAAAAAACTATTAATTTTATATATTACCCTTTTTCTGTTAGACGGTGAATTACTTAACAGCAAAAACCATGTCATTATTTTTTTCCCTTTTAGAGACAGGTCTTGCTCTGTCATGTAGGCTGGAGTGCAGTGGTGCAACCATATCTTACTGAAGCCTCAAACTCCTGGGCTCAAGAGAGCCTCCTGCCTCAGCCTTTTGAGTAGCTGGGACCACAGGCATGTGCCACCACACCTGCCTAATTAAAAAAAAAAATTTTTTTTTTGTAGAGACAAGGGTCTCATGATGTTGCCCATGCTGGTCTCAAACTCCTGGGCTCAAGGGATTCCCCCACCTTGGCCTCTCAAAGTGCTAGGATTGCAGGCAGAAGCCACCTTGCCCCGCCCAGCCCTTTAAAAAATTTTTTTGGCCAGGTGTGGTGGCTCACACCTGTAATCTCAGCACTTTGGGAGGCTGAGGCAGGAGGACAACTTGAGGTCAGGAGTTCAAAACCAGCCTGGCCAACATGGTAAAACCCAATATTTTCTTTCATTTTGTCTCTACAAAAAAATACAAAAATTAGCCGGGCGTGGTGGCAAACACCTGTAATTCCAGCTACTCAGGAGGCTGAGTCACGAGAATTGCTTGAACCCCGGGGGGTGGAGGCTGCAATGAGCACAGATCATGCCATTGCACTCTAGCCTGGGCAATAGAGCAAGACTTTGTCTCAATATATAATAAATAAATAATTTTTTAAATCTCCAGCTCCTAGCAAGGGATTTGACACCTACTAGTGTGCTTGATAAAGGTTCGTTAATGAAATAAATAATTGATATTTGATGAACTCTTCCTACAATGACCTCATTTAATTCTTACAGCCACTGGAGAGATAGATATTATTTACTCCATCTTACCAACGAGGAAACAAGGGCTCAGAAAAGCTGGGTACAGTTCTCAAGGCTGCAGAGTAAGTGGTTGAAGCAGGGTTTTTATTATTATTATTAATTTGAAATGGAGTCTCAGTCTATTGTTCACGCTGGAGTGCAATGGCATGATCTTGGCTCACTGCAACCTCCGCCTCCCAGGTTCAAGCAATTCTCCTGTGTCAGCTCCTGAGTAGCTGGGATTACAAGAGTATGCCACCACGCCCGGCTAGTTTTTGCATTTTTTAATAGAGATGGGGTTTCACCATGTTGGCCAGGCTGGTCTCGAACTCCTAACCTCAGGTGATCCACCTGCCTAAGCCTCCCAAAGTGCTGGGATTACAGGCGTGAGCTACCGCGCCTGGCCTGAAGCAGGTCTCCAAGGTGCCTCTGCCCTCTGAGCCTACACTCATGACCATCACATTAGACGGCGCACAGGTGGGCTTCAAGGCTGGGGAGACACTCCACGAACCTGGGAGGAGGCATTTACAGCACAGAAAGGGCAGGTGGGCTGCCCGGAAGCTGGAGGCTGAACACTCTGCTGCCCTCTATCTGTTATAGGAAGAAGCCTAGTGAGCTGGGAGCTGATCTGGGAACGTGCGGTCTGAACTCCAGCTGCCCAGGCTGCAGGGCGGAGGCTCCGCATTCCCCACGCTCAGCACGCTAGCCTCCACCTGCGGCGGGGCCGGTGACAAATGCCCTCCCAGAACCAGCAGACACCTCTGTGCTCACCCACTTGAATTAGGTGAAGGTGTCAAGACCCAATAGGATCACTTAGAAATACCGTGCCGGGCCTCTGCTCCACCCACACACGCTCCAAATCACTGCCTTCAGGCTGAAGCTACTGTTTCATTAGCATTTCTTTATTGGTAGTTTTTAAAAAGTTTTTAAAAATCTCGCACCCCAACCTCCTGAATAGCCTCACGATTAGATAATACAACCACATGGTAAAATTTTCAAACAGCACAAGAAGATACATTATAAAAATCAGCTGGGCATAGTAGCGCACGCCGGTAATCCCAGCACTTTGAAAGGCCGCGGAGGGAGGATCCCTTGAGCCTCGGAATTCAACACTAGCCCAGAGAAACATGTAGAAACCTCGTGTCTATAAAAAATAAAAAATTAGCCGGGCAAGGTGGTGCACGCCTATAGTCCCAGCTACTTAGGAGGCTGAAGTGGGAGACTCACTTGAGCCTCAAAGTTGGAGGCTGCAATAAGTCATGATAGTGCCACTGCACTGCAGTGACAGAGCAAGACCCTGTCTCGAAAATAAATACAGAAGTAAATAAATAATCAATCTTGCTCTAATCACCACGCCCAGCTTGGATGACAGAGTGAGACTGTCTCAAACAAAAAAAAGAAAAGAAAAAAGAATTTTTTTTGGCATTGACATGGTACTATGATCTAATCTACGGATCAATTTTCCCAAGAATATATCTTATATGAAAATTTTAAGATTCTTTTTTTTTCGTTTCAGGATTCCATCCAGGATTATCCATTGTATTTAGTAGTCATGTCCCTTTAATCTCCTTTCACCTAGAATGTTCCTCAGCCTTTCGTGACATTGACGGTTTTGAAGAGTACAAGCCGATTATTAGGTACATGTCCCTCGATGCTGTTTGCCTAGGGTGTTCTCGTTATTCAATTCAGGTTTTGCATCTTTGGCAAAATGATCACAGGCTGATTTCGTGTTTGCCTTCACATGCCAGGTGAAGCCCATTATGTTGGTTTGCCTTGCTCTGATGTTGTTAACTTTGATTACTCAATTAACAATCTTGCCAGCTTTCTCCAGTGTAAAGTTGGTACTCTTTTCTTGGTAATCGACAAGTAATATGCAGGGAGATATTTTGAGATCATGTAAATATCCTGTTTCTCATTAAACTTCCATCCTTCAATTTTTGCTTCCATGAATGATTCTCCACTGGAAAAAAAGGTATTCTTAGGATGCTTGCAAAGTGTTTACTGCATTCTTGAGAAGATTAAAAAGCAAGCATGTATCAAAGGACCTTTGACCTACTGGCTTTATTTCAAGGAGGAATATCTCCAGGAAACAATATGAGGATGAGGATTCAGGATATAAAGAATTCATTGCAACAGTGGCTATAAGAGCAAAACTTGGAAATAACCTAAGTGTAAGCAATACAGTAATTGAATCAAGAAATGTGAAGCAACGTTTAAAACAATGTTTTTGAGAGATTTCCACCACATAATGCTTAGTAATGTGGTAAGTAATGGTATATATTAACACATTTGGCTAAATACAAATATGAGATGCTGGGAATTGGAACGGTGAAACAGAAAAAGGACATCAGTGGAAAAGGCTGATGAGATTCAAATAAGGCCCTTAGTTCGGGGTAATAGTAATGTGCCAATATTAATTTCTTGGTTTTATTTAAAAATGTACCATAGGCATGTAAGATATTAATATTCGGGTGAACTGAGAGAGTAAAGGAGAATGGTCTCTACTATCTCGTACAGTTTCTGTAACTTAGAATTATCAAAAATAAAATGTCATTATTTCCAACACCTGGAAGTGTTGGAAATGTTCATTACTTTTTTTTTTTTTTTTTTTTTTGAGACGGAGTCTCGCTCCTCTGTTTCCCAGGCGGAGTGCATTGGGTGCAATCTTGGCTCACTGCAACCTCGTGCCTCGTAGGTTCAAGCGATTCTTCTACTCAGCTTCCGAGTAGCGGGATTACAGGCACCTGCCACCACACCTGGCTAATTTGTTTACTTTTAGTAGAGATGGGGTTTCACCATGTTGGCCAGGTGATCTCAAACTCCTGAGCTCAAGTGATCTGCGTGCCTCAGCCTCCCAAAGTACGGGATTACAGGTGTGAGCCATTGTACCTAGCCATATTCATTATCTTGATTTGTCATGGATGTATACAAGTGTGAAAACATATTTATATTAC